AACGTACCTTCCCTAAAACTAACAGCAGTGTTCGCTGGTCACATAACGCTAGCTCTTAGACTTTGAAACCTGGCAGTTTAAAACAAATAATGAAGGGCGGATCCTAAGAGGCTAGAAGGGGTCAAACTTTAAATTTACACTTACTTCATATTTCGTTCGCAATAGCCTTGATAACAGGACTAAGAAAAAAATCCTAACAGATTTTGACAAGGAATCGAATGAAGTTCATCATACACTAAAGTGAGTTACTTATAATACTGTAAGAGGTTCCTGATATCATTACAGGACATCATTGCGGCACATGACCGTACTCTATTTATTACAAACTCACATAATCAAGATGTCCCTTTAGCCAGTGACCTTTAGGTCCCGGTATTCCATCCACGGACTTTACAGCAAGTTTCCTTTTCCGAACAAGGCTTACTAAGACATTCACAATGCAGAAAATTGCAGCAGCCACCAGTGCGAGAGATGACAACGACTGTTGACCCGCCTGCGGTGAGTATTGCGAGACAAATTCCGCCACCGATTGAAGCATACTCTGGAATAGAATATAAATATTACGAAAGGCGGTGTTAAATGTTTTCTAATTTGTTTTCTGCCGGACAGCTCTTTCGATAATCAGAAAATTAGATGTATATCCTCTGCTTTGTTAGTTTCTTCTAACGTCTGATTCAGCGATTTTGGTTAAAGTGATGTTAAAAGGAAACACGTAATTGAAGTCAAAGTCAACTTTTGAAGTAATTACGATTATGTCAGAGCGGTTTATGATTGACAAAGGTCAATTGTTTATTTCATGAGAACTTTTGTTTTGATCGCGATTAAAAATGCAAATTAGTCATAATTGTGTTACTCCGTCACTGGGGCTTAATGAACTCCTCCGAGGGCTATTGTACAAATCAAAGTCCGTGGGAAGCGCTTTTCGTATTTATTCATGCTACTGTATTTTCTCTACTCTACAGGGTTATGTGTGGGAGCGAATTTCCGGCTGGAATGAGTACACGCGCCGAAATTGCTGCGCGGTGTTGTGTGTAAAAAAATAAAGAAATGAAATGATTGTAAAAAAAAGTGTTATAGACCTTTGATGCTCGCTGTGAGTAAATACGCCAAACAAATTCCTGAGGAACCTAGCATAGCGCGAGCCTGCTAATATCAAAATAGTACAGCCTTTTTAAAAGACGCAAAATTTACATGTCTACTACTTCCGTCGACACTGGAGAAAACACAGACGTAATCGGAAATTTTCGAAACAGGCTGTAAGTTGATCTGTACTTGCGTATCTTGAATAGACAAGGGTTTTATGACGTAACCAAGTCCATATTTCCTTAAACACCTCCCCCCTCACATGGAGTAAAATCTAATTTAAACGCATCTCTTCTTGTCCTTGTCTTAGAAGTCTCGATAAAATTGTGAAAGCTGTGACAATGTAAAATGGAGCAGAAACAACCATTTCCAAACTAGAGACTCAAGTACAGTGTTCAGTCAAGTAGTGAAATGGAATTTTCCCGCAAGGCCAATATTTATATTTAAACTTACGTTATTCAAAGTAAAGAGAACACAATATTACCACAGATGCCTTTAGATACGTATGATGCATGATCCTCGCAGTAGATAGCGCTATTTATGCAATAGCGAAAATCAGACCTGAAAAAAATCAGGCCTGTACGGGACTCGAACCACTGACCTCTGCGATACTAGTGCAGCGCTCTACCAATTGAGCTAACAAGCCAACTGGGAGCGGGCCGTTAAGTTGATTCGTAATAAACCCGTGAAAGTGATAAATTTTTTTCAGGTCTGATTTTCGCTATTGCATAAATAGCGCTATCTACTGCGAGGATCATGCATCATACGTATCTAATACCGCAGTTCAAAATATATGAACTTCATATATTCATTGTACCTCAGATGCCTTTAGATCTTTCACAAAGGGGATAAAAGTCATATTTTATGCATGCAATTTGAAACACCTTTTGTTCTGGGACGGCAGAGATCGATGTTTTTATGTTTTCTTAAGTAATCAAATATTTATTTCTTCTCAAGTAAATATACATGCAGTATTCTGTTCTCTTTTGTTCCCAAGTAACTTTATATTATTTCTGATACATGGTTGTGTTCTTCTACTACGACCACTAAAGAAAATGAAGTTCAATTTCATCAAGGGAAGAAATTGATTTAGCTCACAAGAATTTCATCACATATCATATATTTCATCATTCATATATTTCAGTACATATATTCAGTAGCTTTAAATTAACCGCTCAAGTTGACTTAAAACAGCAACCTCGTTCCCAGGGTCTCTCATCTTCCCGCCCCCTCCTCATTTGCTCCAAGGGGCGGGAAGATGAGAGACCCCGGGAACGAGGTTGTTAAAACAGATGATTTGAGCTTAACGAGAGCTTAAAAAGATTTGAAGGAGGAACAGATTCCGAAAATTTCTCTATCAGTCTTTTCTTTGCAATTGTCAATATTTTCATATTTTAAATCCGCGCATCTTTTGACTGAAAAATCGGGTTACACTTTTATTATATTTGATTGGTATTTATTTCGAGAGAAGAGCGTTTCCCTATCGACAAACCAGTTTCATCAAAAAAAACTAACGATGTGTTTGTTGCAGACACCCTGCTTATTTAGGACGGAGACAATTTGTGTAAAGTAATAGAATTGCAATCTTCAAAGGCGATTTTGTTTCCCCAACACCTTTATTTTCAAGTAATCTTTTGGGTGAGGCTCTACGCTAAAAAATTGATGGTGAAAGTGTTTAAATTTTAAGACTAACAACCATTACGGATGTTTACGTATTTGAGAGCCAAGAAGGCAGGGGAATGTAAGGTTTCCGAAGATTGAAATCATCAAAAAGAAACCCTTCCAGCTTATGTGTTGCTACTTAGAGCAACTCAACACAAACAAACTTCAACATTCTTCATCAGCACCACTAACATAATTTTGTCATCGGAATCAGTATTATAAACGGCCTGCTCTCACCGGTTGCTGTTTTTTCCAATGTTTTTATTCTTTTTTCGTTGTGGAAGACGTTTTCGTTACATTTAGTGTCGAATATACTGGTTGCATCTTTGGCCATGGCGGATCTCTGCGTGGGTTTGTTACTTCAACCTACGCTTGTTTATATAATGAATATCCGTCTCGTCGCCACTCATTGTGTAGTTTTTGAATGCCACATGTTTTTCGCGTATCTTTTGACGGCATTGTCACTAGGAACGTTAACAGTTACTTTAGCATAGAAAGAGCTATTGCCATCCATTGGCCTTTACTTTACCATGAACTAGTGACCACAAAAAGAGTGGCTTCTGTATGTTGTAATTCAGCTTTGAGTGTTCCAAATTTTGATGTTGTCAATCATCTGGTTCCCTATGAGAAGGTATTCAATCCTTGCCACTCTATCTGTGGCAGGAGCATTGTGTTGTATTTTAGTGATTTGTTACAACTATATGACTATTTGGAGAATCATTCGTCGACATTAACGGCAGATACAAACTGAACAACCTATTACCCAAGAACAAAATACTTTGGATTTTCTTAAATACAAAGCAAGAACTTATACCTCTCTAATAATTCTAAAACTTTTCGTATTAGGTTATCTCCTTTATTTATGTGTGGAACTCAAAAGACTCATTCGCAGAGGACACAAGTTCATGTTATGGAATATTCAATTTTAGTGACAATTGTTTTTGCCAATAGCACTTTTAAATCCTTTTATTTATTTTTGGAGGATAAAAGAACCTAGACGTGCTACTTTGAACACTTTAAGAAGCCTCATTATTTGAAAAAAAGAAGCAAATTAAATGAAAAAATTACCGATACAGAAAATAAGCAAAAGTTTCTAGACATCTCCAGAGAAGCTTCAGGTTCATTTTATTGTCTCTAATAGCGCGTGAGTGAATTTTGCTCACATTGATTACAAGCTAAATAAGCGGAAAACCTTCAAAGTAATGATTTTAAGAGACGAGTGCGATGTAGCCTTAACCAAAACTTTACACTTCGGGAAAATATTGATTTTCATGAAGATCTTTTACTCGCAAATTTAATAAAAGCTTAGGTGAAAAACCAGAAGCTTTCCAAACATCACATGCTTATCAAGAAATCTTTTTTCTGTTCCTCTCTAGAATACGTAAGTTATCCATCACGATGGGGGCTGAACTTATCGTTTAGTTCAAAACACAAAATGTATTCTTTCCCGCAAGTACAAGGGTGAATTTTAGAAAGTTGTAATTAAGTTTGGATTTTTCATTTCCTCTCACCTACTTCAGTTTCTTTGCGCCAAAAAAAAAAATTAATAGATATTAAAATATTACAAAGTTTTCCCGTCATAACCAAAAACCTTCCGGGTGAGAAGTATAACATAACATGCTGGGAGTGATTCTTTTTTTACACTCGATTTCATCCATTTCCTTGGATGCGTTCTTTCATCCTCTCTTGGCACGAGAGGAAGCACAGGCTCATTTCGAGCGCGTTAGGGTCAGCAAAGAAAAATATTAGAAGGGGCAGGAGAGCTGTGGTTACTTAGCTGTTTCCCCGACAACCGGCACAACTGCTGTTTGTTTCTCATCCGCTTCCTCGCTCATCTCCACTGATTGAGCATCTGGTGTACTCTTCAAACTAAATTACCTAGCCTTGTCAGATACCTTATTTACGCCATTCCCATGTTTGACCACAATCAAATGCTTTGAGTATTCCACACTCCGCCATCTACACTGAGAAAAGCAAAAACTATGTACAACTTTTACAAAAGATACAACTATCTGCACTGTCTAAAACAGATCCACAGCTATAGTGGTTTTGCACAGAAGCCATGTTGGATGGCAGGAACAATGTAAATATTTTGCATAAGAAAGAATTTTTTTCCCGTCGGTAACGGAACGACATTACACCAGTGTCTACAGTACCTATGACCTGCGGCTACATTCCAAATTCAAAATGGCTGCTCGACAAGGTCTTTACGTAAGAGAACCATTGAGAATTTTTTTGTTGCAAATGACCATTTTATTTGATATGCCATATATTTTTCCTGTTTAGGTAATTTCTAGGATATCGAGAGGGATACACACTTCTTGTAGGAGACAGTTCTTGATTCCTATGGTGATCGAACAAACGGTACGTAACAACAGAGCTAGAACGTTTACGTATATTAATACCTCTTCACTTTGATATGTACTCAAAACCTTTTTTCTGTGTTGTCTGATTGATGAACGACTTATCTTTATTTTTTGCAGGGAAGAGGTGAAAGAGCCTATGACATATTTTCACGTCTTCTGAAAGAGCGTATAGTGTGTGTTATGGGTCCTGTAAGTGACGATGTATAAATTATATATGTAACCAGATATGCAAGTAATTATTCTAAATTATAGTAGTTTAGAACGAAAAGAGTGTTCAACACACTGTTTTTTCAAAGTAAAATTAGCACAAGAATCAGATAGTAGAATTTTGACTGAACAAGGATTTATTATTTGAACGATTGTTAACCTGAAGGCTTTTGTGGAGGGACAGATTGTCAGCCAAACGAAATGCAAGATTCCCTTCATTTGCCTTTAGGAGAGACAGCCATTAAGTAAATGTTATCTCTGTAAGATACTAAATAAATGACAGACTAGCATTGCTTAGATTATATGACAGACTAGCATTGCTTAGATTAGCTCACCTTTCTATGGACCAGTCTAATGTATCTGTGTACAATGTGCATCCCAACAGCAACCCTCTGTGATCCCATTTTAAGGAACTGGGATGTAACTTCTGACAAAGAAGTGATGTCAGCTGATTAGCCATAGGCAATAGGGATGACAAAAATGCTAGGGCACTCAGCTTCCATTGCTGTCACCCAGATTCAGTCCCCGTAAATAGCATCATATGTGGGTTGGATTGTGTTTTGGTTTTCTTCTTTTCTCTGAGGGTTTTTATGGGCTCTCTAGTTTTCTGCCTATAGAAAACAAACATGCCTAACTCCAATTTGAGGCAAAGGACAAGAAGTGCCACAAAACCTGATTTATTTTTAATCAGTGGATTAGAACCTTTTCCACCTTTTTTTTTTTCTTCTGTTGTATTTTAGATATCAGATGAATTGTCAAGTCTTGTTGTGGCTCAGCTGTTATTTCTACAGTCAGAGAATGATAGAACACCTGTCCATATGTACATCAACAGTCCAGGTAATTGAAATAAAATTTAAGACACTTTTAAAGCTACCAGTGTTTATTACTTTTGTTGTTTTGGAAAACATATCTATGCAAAAATCATTTGCAGTAGTTTGTTTTCAAAGTCTTACTGTGGATATATTTACTGTGATGTTTGGTATATCATCAAAAAAGTCAGCATCTAAGTTAGAAGGAAATTATCTTGACTTCAGCTACATAAATCAATTTAGAGTATTGCTGCTTCTTTCCTGGACAGAACTAAGTCTGTTACAGGGTTAATCTCCATGATTTATGCTCCTGGGTGGAGACAGGCACTGTGAAAGGAAAGTGACTTTCTTGGCAGGTCATCTCAGTGACTCGGCCAGTTCTCAAACCTGGATCTTTCAATCCAAATTCCAGAACACTGAACACTCATGCACATGTGTGATATAATTTATTCTGGATGTTTGAAGTCATGTTTAGCTGTAACACTTAATTTTTGTTGTCCTTGCCAGGTGGCTCAGTTACAGCAGGATTAGCCATTTATGACACAATGCAAGTATGCATCTTAGACTGTGCAAAATTTAAGCATTTATTTTTCTTGTTTTTTAGAGTAACACAAAGCTTACAGTAATTGTCGAGCCATGAACCCCTTTCTTTGGGGGAGTGGAGGAGCTTTAAATTATTGTTTATTTGAGATGCTTGTGTAGGCCAATGGTTTTGTTATGCTGTCAATACAAGATTGAAATGGAATTCTGAGAGGGTGCAACAATTCTGAAGTACAGAAAAGAATGGAATGGAACTTGTGAAAAGTATACTTCAATAAGTCCCCAATTTTTTTTTTTTTTCTCAGTACATTCGACCCCCTGTCTCCACATGGTGTATGGGGCAAGCTTGCAGCATGGGCTCCCTGCTGTTGACTGCAGGAAGCCCAGGTTTGAGACATGCTTTGCCACATGCAAGGGTCATGGTGCATCAGCCTCATGGAGGAGCAAGGGTATGTTGTTGTTGCTGTTGTTGTCCTTGTTGTTGATATACCCTTACACCTTTGAAACCAGTTACTCAAAAATTGGAGACAAGGTATAAAAAATTATGTAATTATTTTGAATCCGACTGAAAGATATGTGTGAAATTGTGTTGGGTAATAAACGAAAGGGTGTTCCGACTGTATGACAATGCAGAAATATCAAAAATATATGAACTTCATATATTCATCATAGCAGAAATATCAATTGTGTATATTTCATGAATGTTTTAGGGCCAAGCTACAGATATAGCCATTCAAGCTGAAGAAATTCTGAAGCTCAAGACACTCATAAACAAGATTTATGTTAAACACACTGGTCAGTCTCTTGATGAAATAGGTAAGATTTAAAAACATGTTGTTATGGCCATATTGCTTCAAGTTCTCATTCTTGTTGTATTGATAATGACATAGCTAAAGAGTGAGGGTGGCAAAGTTGTGATTGGTTTAAGTTTTGCATATGATTAGTTAACAGGATAACATGAGTTTTCTTGAACAATCAGAGAGGGTAGGGAAGCAAAATCAAACCAATCCTGGTTTAGTTTGGACACCAGCAATACTAACCACTCAAAGAATCACTCATTTGCTCGTTTATTGATGGCTTATCTGTTTCTGTTTTTTGTACATCAGAAAAAGCGCTTGAACGGGACAAGTTTATGTCACCTGAGGAAGCTAAGGAGTTTGGTTTGATTGACAGAGTGTTGTCTCACCCTCCACCCACGGATAATACTTTGCCAACTGATGATCCAGCTGAAAGCTCGTGACCCCACTGGATCTAACCTTAGGTTGCACAAAATTTCTTTCTACCAACATGATAAGACACTCAAGGACCAAGTTACAGACATAACTTTAATGATGAAATAAGTGGGTTTTGCGCTCGCATATAGTGTTTCCAACACTGACAAAAAGGCTCCCGGTCCTCAGCGAAAGCAAGTCACAACAAGATTTTTTTTTTTTCAAAGCTATGATTCTTAAGCGATTTGTGAGCGAAAAGTGGAATAACTGCACATTAAACGTTTTTTTAAGAATTTTCCAAATTACTTGTCGTACTTGAACACAAGCTTAGTTTGACCGCTTTCTGCCCCGAGGATCTTTTCGTAGGTGAGCTTACGCCGTTTAGAGGACAGGTACGAAGGGAAGATAGACCATTCATCGGGATCTGAAAGATTCAATAAACATGAGTCACTCTTGACTACGTTTTGAACCAGATATTCTAAGGCCTCTGCTCAATCCACACAGACTTCTCATGGTCCTCGAGGAGTCGCTGACTCCCCCTTTATAAAGATCAGAAAAGCGCTAGTCGGGTGAATACGGGAAAACTCGCACTCCCATTACCGCCTATCAGCGATAACCAATCGTCACTGTTTGGTATTCTTTTCGCTTGAAGAAAACTTTCGTTGGCCTCATGGACACTCTCATGTCAATGAGTTTAATACAACACTATCACTCACCGTCTGGGCACGACTCATTTGTTTGTACCTCTTGTTCCCCTTTGCGTATCTGTCATGAAAACGAAATATTTATTTGGTTACTTTTCTTAGTAAACGTGCTAGTTCGTTCTCTTTGTCCTAAAACTGAGGTAATTAATTTTACACAGGGTTTACTCGACAAGTAAGCTTTTTATAAGTAGCTCATTTTGGAGTTTCGAGTTTTTGGAAAAAATCATAGACTCCTTACAAATAACTGGTTTATATCTAGCACTTTCAAGTTTTTTTTTTTTTTTTTTCATTTCTGCTGTAAATACACGATAGCAGAGTACCTGAGTAATATTAATCCAATCAAGGATAAAACGGCTTTGTTTTTAGGCAACTACTGCGTGGAAACGACCTTTTAAACAAGCTCTGTGTTCATACCAGCATAAGGGTGAGGCAATTAATTACCTGTTGTGCGCCTCTTGAAACAGAGTTTGTAGATTTTTCAATACCAAGACTTAATCTTTTGTGTCTACTTGCGACAGCATTTTCTCTCAGCACTTGACTTGATGTACTCGGCACTGACACTCGATGATAACTAGTTGAGCCATAAACTCTCCTCTGTGGTTGAGCTATTCCCACTTTGGTTGGAACAGCACGGGAGGCCTCGTTCCCAAGGCATAATACTCGCACAGCTTGCCTGCGAACATTCAATTAAGCAAGTGTCAATCTTGTCTATAGGTCTGCGCCAAAGCCTCTCAATATGGCGGTCATACATGGGCACAAGCCCAAACCGGCACTTACAGAGTTTCCTTCACTTCTTTCTTTTTTGAAACAAGAAGTGCATTATAGTATACTCCCTACCGCTCCCAAAATATTCCGCCTGCGATTATGTTGATACAGACTGAAGTAAAGTCATACTGAAGCCAGAAACACACAGAAAACAATTTAATCGATATGTTCGCCATAGCTACTCTTACCGTTTACTTGAATGATCTTTATCCAGTAGAGATGCTTGCGGTATCTGATGAATACGGTTATCTCTGGGGTTCTGGTACCTTCGACCGAAGACGTTCTTGTCCCAAGAGTGTTCAGAGTGATCAAACTCTTCTCTCGAAGAGTGTACTGTAGGTCCTATTACTGTCGGAAAGTTTGAAGCAGTAAGACATAGGTCTTCGTCAGAAGTCGAGTAGTCTGCATAGTCTTCTCTTAAATGGATTATTTCTTCAGGCCTTGATCGGTAGGAACCAGGTAATTCCGGAAAATGATGACTTTGAACTGGATAGTTGCTTGTTACTTGGTGATCATACCTGACGTGTGGTACCTTGAGACAAATGAGAGATCAGAGATGAGTGGTAAACAGAATGGAACAGTGGCTGTGTGACTGAAAATGGCCACGAATTTTATTGAGTAGTTAAGCTCAGGGGCCCTCATTGTTTAAAAGGCGGGTAACAAAGAAATACTTAAAAAGAGACGTTTTAGGTTGAGTTTCATTTGGGCGAGAACAGGAGCACCCAATATTGATAACTAACCCTCTAAACAATGAGAGAACTATTACATCTTAGGTCAGTTGGACATTCAACTGGGTAAAGCAGTATAATCTTCAGGTTCCATTATCTCTTCAATCGACAAATTTGTCGCCATTTTCTCACTTCCTCTGTAGTTTCCTCACTTTCCTCCTCCTTTCTCTCCTTCCGTCGTTCAAGTGTACTCCATGCCTCCCGCCCCTCCCCCCATTATTCATAGAACTCTCTTTTCATACCCTGCCTGTCCCAGCTCTATATCACTCTCAGTAGTCGTCCGTCTCGCATCCTTTGTTTCTTATCATAAAACCAAGAAGCTGGTTACAAACAACTGCCTGAACAATATTTCAAAGAATATTCTTCCCTCTTTTCGCATGATGATTACCTTTTCCTCTGTGATACATCGCCTCAAATCTGATTCAACGTGGTCCTTCCATGACTTTGAAGATGAATTTCTGACTACTAAGGGTCTCCACTCTCTCTCAAGTGTATCAGAGATATCTGAGAATGAAGGGTGGTAATGTCCCGCCTCATCTTTGTGAGAAACACCGCGAATAGAATTCAAGCGATCTCCTGAGACGCTAGCAGACCAATCATTCACAGGTCTATCTTGAGAGTAACTATGGTAAACCCTATCCTTTACATGGTCTCTTGTAGTTTCTTGCCCATGTTGGATGTTTACCCCAAACAACGGTGGATCACTAAGCCTGTAGTCAGTGTACTCCACTGAGCCACTTCTCGTAGAAACCAGGCTATCAGGGGAAGAATTGACCTCTGAGGCAGCCAAGGACTTTTGATGCGGTGACGGTTGTACGGCAATGCAGCTTTGTGAGGGAGTTTGAAGTGACGGCCGTGCAACTGAATAGACTGAAAGATCACGGTCTAACTCAGAACACCAGTTCATAGACTTGTAAAATTCCTGGAAGAAAGCCAACCAGATACTCTTACATGGTACATAACATTGTCAATGGAGTGGTTAGAAACTGTGAAATTTGGGGTTTTATAAAACAACGGTTACATTACAAAGTAGCCGACCCTACTACATAGGTTTATTTTGTTTAATCACATTACATTATTTAAAGTCCTTGAGAACCCTTTTAAACGCGACAAAGTATTTCGCCTAGAGGACCTAAGAGCAATTTCACATAGGAAGGTCCAAGTGAGTAACTCAGGAGAACTCATTTGAGGATCAAAATCTCAGATCAGTCAAGTTTCTTAAGTTCTTAATGACATCATATATAGCATAAGTTATGACACGATGCTGACGAATCATTAAACTTCCCCATTAAATACCATTGGCATGGTAGGTACGTACAACCTTACTAACACCCAGATACAAACTAAAGTTCTCATACTGAAAGAGTTTTCGGCGGAATCCAAGGGCAGGTTTCCCTCAATTTCTCTGGCGACATTTTCAACAGCTCAGCTAATGGTGCAGCGGTTAGCATCACTTGTGCGCTAAATAGAGAATAAAACGAATAATGAAGAATACCTTCACGTTGATCAGCATATGCCTTTTCAGGTAGTGAAAATATGTCAAGTGTTGTGACGGTAATGTTTGCTCAGTTTTTATCATTACACCGAAGTCTAGTGTTAAAATTGATAGGCATGTACATCATTACCGTTGGACAAGTTATATCGCTCTTATTACCTGAATGAATTCATACACGGCAGCGACAACAGGAACTCTTCATGCTTCAAGCAAGAAAACACATAATTAGTCTTGAGGATATAAACCCATCTCTCTGTCCCACAGAAAATGCTCTTGAAGGTTTCTTGATATGACTCAACGCAATGATTAAAGCCACTTACCGCGCTTGCTTCGTTTGTTAACCATTTCCGTTTCGGCCATTCCATCTTATCCCACACTGTGGACTGTACCCTAGCTTTGTCACCTATCTGCCTTATGAGACGAGCAGTGTCCTTAATAGTAAAAGAGTACAGAATCTCCACTTCAAACTCGTTCTTTTGAAAATGAGCGAAGCTAGCAAACAGAAAGGATAGGTGGCGAAGAACGTCTCCCGTAAAGGCACAGCTGAAATAACATCAAGAGTTTGCAATAAGTTAGCGAGGATTACCCCTGACCTGATCCCAAAATGTACCGAATACATCTTGTGGGTTGAAACCAAAATATTATTTTTGTCTGACACCTACTTTGGCTGTTTGTTAGAATACATGATAATATAACACTTGTGGCATTTGAGGGACAGTGACACCACCACATCTCTCAATCCTTCATATTTGTCCTCATCAAAAAGAGATGATAGATGCTGGAGATGAATGCAGGTTCTCTCGTCAATCATGACGTCAGGCTGTAGAAGCATTTTTCTTAGAGAATCTTCAGACTTTGTCTCACTGCTTCGTCTTTCATAAATCATGACATTGTGACAAGTTTCAAGGAGATGCAAGAGATCTTTATTCTGTGTAAAGGTTTCACTACCGATGAAAATTTACTGATCTTGGTCCCTCAGCAAGTTGGTGTCGCTGATGTCTGAGGGAGAAATGATAGAGAACCACGTGTAATTTATACTAGCTAATGAAAATGGCATTCAAAACATCAATAATGTCGTTATCCTATGATACAAACACACATGATATATATAAAATAGGTGTAGGTTGAGTTACATTAGAGGCGTAGCATCCGAAAGAGGAAAGGGTAATGAAAGAGAGAGAGGAAAAGGGAATGGTATAAGGTGATGGTTTAAAAAATATAGTTTTTTTCACCAGATGGAGGCTCCCGGTAAACTAATGATTAAGGCGTTAGGCTCTGAGTGGAGAGGTGTGAACTTGAGTTCAATCAAATATGCTGCATCTTTTGGCAAGACGCCTCAGCAACACTCAAACTGACTCTCCACCTTAACGAAAGAGACACAAAGGATCAGCCCCATGATATTCTAGGAAAATTTGACACATTACCGGGAGTTACTTTCAATAAACTGGTGCGCCACTGATTGAGAGTAATAGCAATACTTGAGGCTGCTTCATGATTCAGGAACCGAGATTAGCTTAAGCGAGGCCTTCAGGATTTGATTTTCACCAAGTCAACTGATTATCAAACCCATCCTTGATCTCCCATCCGACAAACAAAAATGAAAATCGATTGGTCTGGACAGATCTCTTATTATATCACTGCATCCACAATGTCTATGAAAGCCTTAATTAACTTACTAACCTTCAGCCTCAGTTAAATGCTTCTCCACTGAAATTTTTGATATCGTCTTCAAGGTTATATGAGATTTAAGTATTGTGCTGCGGGAAAGTTCCTCCCTTGTTATCGTTTCAGTCAGGTCGTAGTCTAGCACAAAGTCAAATCTTGTCCACGGAAAATCCTCGTTTGTCGCTAAAACATTTACAATATAGATGACCATTTGTCCATTTTCTTCCTGCGAAGTATTGATTCCTGTGTCTTTGTTAAACAACCTGGTCTGAACTCCGTGTAAACCCGACAGTATCTCTGTAATTTCTTTGGTTAACTTTTCAGGGAAAGTGTAAACGATGATAGCAGCGTTAGCGCCGTCTGCGTCTTGATCTTTACTCCACCGTGCTACGATGCTGAGTAGCTTTGAAAGCTTTGGGTGAATAATTTTCTGCTGTTCAAACGTGAATTGTGTTTTGACGAGGTATCTCCGTATTGATTCCAGAGCTCCTCTTATTAAACTGCTGTGCTCTTCATTTATTGAGCCTAAGAAGGCTAAAATAAGTTGAGAATATATCAGTGTTTTAATAACCAGAAACCCTGCTTGTAGTGCCATTTCCCCCTACTTTTACCACCCAAATTTCTCAGTTTAACTGGCAGAACTGTCAAATAACTTCTTAAAATTTGAATCTGAGTTTGATTTTTCAGTCTATAGCGCTTTTTATATCATGCTCTCCGCACAAAAATAGGTAAATGTGAGAAGAAATTGCTAACGCAAGCCGTTAAGATAACAAAACTTGTCAATCTCACCTATTGCGGCTTCCAAACCACTATGCATAAGAACATCAACAGAAGACACAAGTGCATGCAAGCACACAGACAAACAATGAATATCACTTTGGTGGTCTCCTTCCTCAGGGGACATTTGGGTTTGCTTCCAAATGAATCTTGTATACTCTGGATTTAATTTCGACAGCGTCTTAGTCTGTGGTACAACTCCATAACTCTGTAGCCTAAATAACACAGGCTTTACATGTCTGATCAACTCATCTAAAACTTCCTGGAAGTCGTCTGAAAGTTCAACAGGTATGTCACGCTGCAGTGCGTGACAGCTACTGTGCTGCTGGCCGAGACACTCATGGCCTGTTGGTTCTTCCGCAACAACAGAGTCAGGTCCTGTCTTCTCTGTTGTGAACACCGAAGGAAGAACTTTCACCGCTTTCACGATTTTTTCTAAATGAGAAAAAGAAATTGCACTGGGTTCGAAGCCAAGCAATTGTTTAATATTGATAAAAAAAAAAGTCAAGAAATGTATTCTTCACAAAACGTAATGTTCTCTAAGTAAGATAACTGTATGCTAGAAAAGAGTTGCTAAGTTAAAAAAGGATATATTAGAGAGTAAGGCAGTCACTTCTTACTTGTTGGCCCACACAGGCTGGAACCGGCCAACTTTAAGGAGTTTGTAAGACCTCCCCTTAGAAAAAAGAAGTCATTAATGCCACCAGAAAACTGTTTAGATGCCGGGAGTGTGGTGTGTTCGGCAAAACATGGTTCCCGTTCGTTTGTCTCTCTCGGGGTACCTCCAATTTCCGTCACAAGGTTGCTTGTGTTCGACGAACGTGAATTAAATCTTTTAGGGTTATCAGAGGAGGAGGAAGAAGAAGAAGGGGCACACAGAGTGTTATGGATATTTTGTTTTGTAGCCAGTGTCTTAGTTTTTCTTCCATCCTCGCCTTAAAAAAGAGAAAAGAAAAAAAGGAAAAAAGAAAGCTTGCATCGATCAACTTAAGAATTAAAATGTTTAACGTAAGGGTGTAAATCTTTGATTATGAATAGCTCAAAAATTTGTTTCTAATTATTTTACCACCTTTTTGGATAAGCATTCTTTCTGACTGAATTGCCAATTACTTCATAAACATATTAGTATTATTAGTAGTATTTGCAGATCTAAGCTTTGAGGTCCCCCAGGTATTAAAACGCTTGTTGACTTCTCTTAAATACGATTCTGAGAGTCAGTTTTGTATTCAAATCATGCATTTGATGAACGTAATGGTACACAAGCTTTGTATTCGGACTTAGCGTAACTGTGTAGTTCAAATTCGTTGTTGTGTTAGTATTTACCCAATTTTCGTTCTTTCTGCTTTCCCTCAGAAAATTGCTGTAGGTCTCGAGACAGGCTTCCATCTAGTACCTCATCTGAACAAAAAAAATTGATAAGAAAATGATAAAGTTTTATTATGTTTATTTATAGCTTTGCAAAAAATTAACCTCACCGTAAATGCTATTTTTATGAAAGACTTCTCCACGATATGAAATTCCTTTTCGGTGAGGGAGTAATTCACTTTGAGCTTGCTTTTCACTCCTCCACGACGAAACAGACTGAAGACATTTTTGGCAACTCTGCATTTTTCCGGTGGACGCAGCAAGCGGGTCCCACGGTATGCCTAACTCCACCTTTCCATCCACAAGTTCTTGAGAAAGGATCAACTTCTTCACCGCCACTTGTATCAAAGTCGTCGAATGATCCTTTTTTCTCCTGGATGAAGTAGTTGGTACTAAAAATATACACGAAGCGTTTTAGTGTTTCACGTTTAGGTAAACTCACATCCGTTAAGTGAACAAAGAATGATACTCAATAACATATTTTTAAGTTCATTTTGAGGACTCATTGGAATTGACTTGACTTGAAACCAGCACTTGCGTTCGCTCTGTAAAATGTAATCGATTAGGGCAAAAAGGGGCCTTTTTGGATGCAAGGGATTCTGCAAAAAGGGAAGCTCTCTTAAAGAAAGGCTGATCCTGCCTAAAAAAATATTGTGCTGATCCTCAGAACGATCTTAAAGCAATCTATATTTCTGTAGCGGCTAAAAATAGGACACAAAGGCACTGACACAATGTAAATCGCGATCGTAAGTAACTACAACTCTTGCACAATTAGTCAGCTGACTAACCTGGAAGATTTTCTGAGCATACGTACCAGGAAGCACCATTGCTAAGTGTTCACTGAACAGAAACTTCTCATTTTCCCATATGCTTTGTACACACTGCTTGATCTTGTTGGGTGACAGTGGTGGGCTGAGGAAATTTACATCAAATATTCACGTAGAATTTTCAAACAGTTAATTAAGAAATATATCAATTACGATCTGACTAGTTTGGAGAATTTCGTGAGTAGTTTTCATTCTGTCGAGATTCGTTCGCGGAATCTGACGTCTCAACTTGCTATTTTTCTCGTCATCGTTCTCCGCCGATAAAGATAATTTCTTTACCAGATAGGATAAAATGGTAAGATTGTGAAATACTACTAGGAAGGTACATATTACAGTGCTAGGAATAATCTCAGAGAAGACATGAAGTTACCAATACGAGGATTCACCACTGATGTATTTAAAGAGAACTGATCTTCTTTCTATGAGTGTACCTAGTTATCTCAGGAGACAATTGAAAAGGTTTCAAACTACTGATAAACTTCTTGCTGCTGGGATTTTCCACCACAATTGGAAGATGAGAGGGAGATTCCAATAAATGCTGATCATCCAAGACATCGCAAGCACTGGTTTGATCCCCTAAAGATTGAAAGTTTTTTTTTTAATATCATCACACAAAGAATATGTAGCATGAGACGAACCATTGAATTAGCTGAATGAGCTTCAAATTCCGGTTTTCACACCAGCTTTATTAGCTTTGGATTTGATACAAACTTAAGTATTTAAAAATTATAACTTTTTATTTTTCTTTCTTGTTGATTCAGTAACTCCTGAGCACACTGCCGGTATTTTGCTATTAGACTTCACCGATAAAATGTTTGGAACAGAATTCTTTCTTTGAGAAAATGTATCGCGCCCGGCCCGCTTGCGCATTGATTGGCGTAAGTTCTGTGAAACAAGATTTGTGAAAACAAGATTTGTGAAAACAAGAGGATGCTGAAAGCATGATCAGAACAGCTAACAAAACAATTCAAAGTATTCCTCTGAATTTGAACTTACCTGCTTTTGACAGGAAATTACCTTCATTTAATTTCACAAAATCATTCGTCTTCAATTCGCTGCTCTCCTTAGAACCTGCGAGGGCTTCAACACCTCTGTGAGTGGGTTGCTGTAACAGATCTACAAGCACAGGTTTCTCTTCTAAAAATAAAAGTATCAAGTGTAAACTTTTGAGGTTTGCTAGTGTGCTACACTCATGTTCTCCCCCGTGAACAAACCAGGTATACAATATAATTTGGATATATCAACAAAGTTGAAATGGTAAATTGGCCACCGTAATGATTACAAAAGCTGACGTTTCGAGCGTTAGCCCTTCGTCGGAGCGAATAGAGGAATTGTGGGTTGTGTGTGCTTTTAAAGGCAGAAAATGGAGCTACGTTATTGGTGGGAGCATGGCAAGGAGAAAAACATGAATAAATTAGTGGAATGAAAAGCGTTCGTTGATCCCTGTGGGATTTAGACTGCCGT